ACATCTGCTTCAGCCTCCCAAATTGCTGGTATTACAGATATGAGCCACTGCACCCAGCCAGGAATTTGGATTTTATCAATGAGATCATGTATGGTCTTTGAAGTTTTGTCACAATTTATTCATTTATTTCACCCACATAAATTGAATCCCAATGTGTTAGTCAATGTATTGAGTTTAGGATACAAATATGAATGAAGCATTGTTTCTATTCTCAACTCTCTCAGTTGAAACACAACAAATATCAGACACAACAAATGAAAAATGAAATGTTGAGTGTGATACGTGCTCCGACTACATTCTGTACCAGAGGCAAAGAGGCAGGGAGGAGGACATGGCACAGGATATAGTGGATATAAGATAAGACACTGAGTAATTATTTGATATGTGAGAGAAAGAAAAACAGTCAGAAATGCAAACAAAATCATGAGGCCTGGAAGAATACTATGGTCTTAAAAAGCAAGTTTTTCTCCTCTGGCTAGAATTAGCATAGGAACAGGAGAGGTGAGGCTAAAGAGCTAAGTGTGGGGATACATTTCTGCCCACACTTCTCATATTTCTGCCAATTCTGGGTTTTCTGAGCAAAGGCATTTACAGCCATTGTATGAGGTGAAATTCCAGAAAAACGAAGAATAGGGTCAGATATCTCTTTAGATATCTTAAGGTAAAAAGACGAAGACTGTACTTCCTTTCTCTGAAAAAGAATGGCTTACATTACATGAGTGATCTCTCTGTGGAAAGCAGAATAGACAGGTCAGCAGTGGCTCTGCGTAAGATCAGAATTTCCTAATTTTGTGGTGTCTCCCTTAGAATGCACTCCATGCATGTGCAGGTGCTATTTGGCTCTCATGGAATTGACTTGTAGGAATTGAGGACTGAGGCACCGGATGGGGCTCTAGCTACTGCTTTTGAAGAGTAGTGAGCCATCTTAGCTCCTGAGGCATAGGCCTTGTGTCTTCTGCCAGTGTCTGTCTGTCTATTGTCAGCAAGTAGATATGACTGTCAGGAGCTGACTATTATTATATTTCTACTGGGGCAAAAGCCTCAGATCCTTTCCAGTTCCTGACTTTAACAGTTGGCAAGGCCTACACTATCCCCCCATGTTCCAGGCCAGTGAATTTAGACTTTAACTGACAGGAAATCTTTACAGAGATAAGTCATGAATTGGATTTGTGTTTTTAAAACAATGAGTTAAAGGCTGGGGGTAGAAGATGAGTCCACAGGGCACTAGGCACCTTTGAGGTCAAGAATATATCTTCTGTCTTCACGGTGCCATTTTCAATCTTCTGACAAATAGCCCATCCAACTACTTCTTCATTTTTATAGACAGAAGCTGAATCTATGTGGCAAGAGCTGGTTTTGATATCTGTTGTGATGGACTCTTCATACTCTCTTTGAGGAGCCTTTATGACCAAGGACAGCGTTGTTGTCCTGTCTGATTCACACAAGGGTAACCTCACAGTGGCTGCCAACTTTTTTTATTGCACCTCTATCAGTAAAGCTTTTTGAACTTGCATAGAAATATATCCATATTTATTGATGTGTTACTATATGAATGTACTGCCTTACTAATATGATGTATACATTATAAAATACTCTTATAGCATCTGAAGATTAAATTTAAAAATTGAAAAATAAGAGCTTTATTAATAACCCAAACTCTGTGCGCTCTCTAATATATTGTAATTAATACCAAATTCTTTTCAAAGCAATGGTATGAATATGCTTTATTGGCTTTTTGTGTTGGTCCTTCTTGATTTAATGCTTTTTGACCTAGAAATGTGAACTTTGGGATTCTACATTCAGTTTAATTTGAAGTATGGTTTTCATGGCAGTCAGCTGCAGCTAAGGATGCCTTATAGAGATGCTTCAATGCACATAGGGGAAGTCTGTCTTTGGGTGCTCTTCATAAATCATGGTATGGTTTTCTCAGTCCCCTTTACCAATTGTATAATTTTTGAAATTTGACCAGTACATTATAATCTCCTCTGATATGCTCTTGATATGTAATTGTAATTAATCAGACTCAAAACTTACAAAACGTTTTATTTGGAAGATTTTTAAACGATTAAAACACTCTATCCAAAACTTTTAAAGTGTTCAGGAAATTTTTGTAGGTGCCACACTTCTATCATTTTAACAACAAAATCTCACAGTGACAGAAATATTTTTGGACATCTCTTTCAACCTTAAGAAAGAAGATTTAGTGTGTTATTTAATTAAAAATATCTAAAAACTAATCATCATCCCAGAGCACATTGGCAAATATAGAACATTTTTTGGGGAGGAGAATAAAAATGTGCAATATGTCTTCTTCGTCTTTTTTTCTTGAGATGGAGTCTTGCTCCGTCACCCAGGATGGAGTGCAATGACACGATCTTGGCTCACTGCAACCTCTGCCTCCTGGGTTCAAGCGATTCTTGTGCCTCAGCCTACCAAGCAGCTGGGATTATAGGTGCACCACCACGCCCTGCTAATTTTTGTCTTTTTATTAGCGATGGGGTTTCACCGTGTTGGCCAGGCGGTCTCAAACTCCTGACCTCAAGTGATTCTCTCGCCTCAGTCTCCCAAAGTGCTAAGATTACAGGCATGAGCCACCACACCTGGCCAATATGTCTTTATAGTCAAAAGTTATTTGAAATAATTTACCATAGAAAAGTGAACTTTTTGTGTGTGGCCTAAAAGATTTTCATAGTTAGTTACCCCTCGTCTCATTAAAAAGTAGCAAATATTCCACTGTATTTTAATGATCTTGTTTTAATAAAATTAACACACTCAAGACATTATCTATCCAGGATTAATGGAGTTTATGAGACATTTTTAGATGTTCTTATAAAATATGAAAAATTAATGCTGTATTGTGTATTACTTTTTAATTAAATGCCTCTTTTAAAAATATTTATAGACATGGGCAGAGGGAAGAGGGAAGAGAAAGGGAAGAGTGAAAAGGATGACGAAGTCTATTCAATAAGTATAGCTTCCAAACTCTTCTATAAGCTGTTCACTTTAAATAAAATAGACTTCAAATTGTAAATTAGATTCTTAAAGTAAGACATTACCAAGAGTAACCATGATATAAACTATATGGCTCATATGATATCTGTAAAACAAGGATATGAATGAAAGGATTATTAATAAGATCCCATTAACTAAAGTTGGGGAAAAAATAGTTGAATACTCTCAAATTAATTAAAGCTAGGTTAAGTAATTTAAAAAGTAAGACTTAAAATCCGTAATTGTTGGCACAGAAGTGGAACACTTGTATCTGCAGAGAAAAAATATTAAAATCTTTGACATTCTACAAATGAGATTACAAAGAAAATTACAAATTTGTGTGAATATGTGGGCATTAACAATGTATTTATAAAGAAAACAAACTAAAAGAGGAAAAAGATAGCAAGTATTTAATAGCCATACTGCAAAAAAATTATATTTAAGTTTAAATGAAAAACTTTAGGACCTCAATGGATAAATAAGAAAGTGATATAAATAACAATAATTGAAAATGAAATAGCTAATCAACAAATAATTGAAAAGTATATATTGTTACTACTAATCCAAGAATTAAAAATGAAAGCTATGGTGTAGGTATTTATAAAACTTATTTGTAGAAAAAAGTGGGTAACATATTTTTTTTACTAACAATGGTGTGTCAAAAGAGGTGTGACCACAAACTGCTTGTTCTTTCCTGGAAAATATCCCAAAGAATTAAAAAGTAGAAAACTGAATTAAACCCCACAGCCCACTACTGGAGAATGAGTAAGTGAATTATAGTGTGTTCATGTTGGGGTCGCTTGTGTGGGCCAGTCTTCCAACAAGGCTGTCCTTCTTGTAATAACTTCCTTTCTTTTTACAGAGATACAATAATAAGTTCATGAGTGAAAAATGAAATATTCCTACATATCTATGTACCAAAATCCCACTTTAAATAAAGAGTTACATATGATTAAAACCACAGAAGAATTAGAAAGGAATATGGATGAATATTTATTAGTTATTTGGCCTAAAAGTAAAGGAAGGAACCATAGCATGTAAAAAGGGTGAATGAATTTACTCTCTAACAAATTAAAAATGGATATGTCCAAACTTCACATTAAACAAATTAAAAGTCTAATAACCATACTCCAAGAAAAACACATCTATCTTATTTAAAAGACAAAGCAAAAATAATACATAAAACAGATTGTATAAATCAAGAAAATGAAAAGTTTAAAAAGATGGTATTGGAGTAATACTAGTAACTAACAATTATTGATTATAGTTAGTACCCCATACTCTGTTTATTCCTGAAAATAATCCTTTGCACTGGGTACTGTCGAAACCAATATCAAATTTTAGAAGTTGGGTAGAAGTCAAGTAATTTGTCAAAGATTACAATAGGTAGTAAACATTGAAGCTAGGATTTGAGCCTGGGCCGTAAAGTAAATGAACAGGTAGTTTTCAGAAGAAGAAAATTCCAAAAGCCAGTAAGCAAATTAATGATAATAGAAATAAAAGTGAATCTGACAATGAATTTCCCTTTTCCCCACTCAAGCTAGCAAAAGTAAAGCATTGACAAGTGAAGAAAAAGAAAATCCCTCAATACACTTGAAGTTTGTGGGAAAATAGCCCTTTCAGTGACTTTTGGTAGGACTATAAATTTATATAGGTCTCCTAGAGACAATCGGTATTAAGTTTCAAAATCTTTAAAAACGTGCATAATTATACATTGGTAGAACTTGAGCCTTTAATCATTGAAACTTAACAAAAAGGGTCCACCTCACCCCAACCATCGCCACCATATGCTCAAGTTAGAGAGTTATGTTGCTAAAGAAAAATTGTATTTATCATTATTCATTTGGAATTCTAGGGGAAAATTTAAATTTGATGTTGAAAACAATTTCTAGAAAGGATTGTTTTCCCCTAGGGTTCTTTTGGTCAATCTCCTTCTCTCTCAAACTCACAGAATTCTTACTGTTTTGTAAGTAGCAGTACCAAATCCCAGGACAGACGTGAAGTTTCTGTCATTCAGTTTCACAGAACGCCATGTATATTGGGCCATTGTTTTTCACTGTCCAGGCTAAATAGGTCTGATTATATTTCAGCAAAGTGATCCTCTTTATCATTTCCACTTCCTCCTTCCTGTGCTCTGAGACAGATTTTGTGTTTGAATTACACAGTAAAAGGTAGGAGGGGTTAAGGCTAGAGCCACATCCACATTCTTTTGACAGTGGACTAGAAAAGAATCCAAAGAGAGGACATGTAGCACTGGAACCGGTTTTCTGGTTTTCTTTTAAATTACACTGCATTTTGAGATGATTATAGATAAACATAAAATTGCAAAAAAATAATTCAGAGTGTACCCTTTATTCAAATTCCGCCAATGTTACCATCTTGCAAACCTATATAGTACATTATCACAACTGTCGCTGCCCAAGGAGTTCACCTTGCCTGCTGCCTAGACAGAGCCAATTCATCAAGACAGGAAAATTGCAATCGAGAATGAGTTATTCATGCAGAGTCAGCTGTGCGGGAGACTGGTGTTTTATTATTACTCAAATCAGTCTCTCAGAGCATTCAGGGAGCAGAGTTTTTAAGGATAACTTGGCGGGTTGGGGGAAGCCAGTGAGCCAGGAGTACTGAGTAGTTAGAGATGAAATCATAGGAGTCAGAGCTGCCTTCTTGCGCTCAAGTCATTTCCTGGGTGGGGGCCACAATGTCACATGAGTCAGTTTATTGATCTGAGTGGGGCCAGCTGATGCATCAAGTGCAGGGTCTGCAAAATATCCCAGGCACTGATCTTAGGAGCAGTTTATGAAGGGTCAGAATCTTGTAGCCTCCGGCTGCATGACTCCTCAACCATAATTCCTAATCTTGTGGCTAATGTTAATCCTACAAAGGCAATCTAGTCCCCAGGCAAGAAGGAGGTCTGCTGTGGGAAAGGGCTGCTACCGTCTTTGTTTAAACTATAAACTAAGTTACTCCCAAAGTTAGTTCAAACTATGCTCAGGAATGAACAAGGACAGCTTGGAGGTTAGAAGCAAGATGGAGTCAGTTAAGTTAGGTCTCTTTCGCTGTCTCAGTCATAATTTTGCAAAGCTGGTTTCACAACCAGGATATTGATATTGATATAATCCACTGTGTTAGACTTCTCCAGTTTTGGTTGCATTCCTTGGTGTCTGTGTGTGTGTTCACTGTCAGACAATTTTTCACACATTCACGGTTCCATCTCCACAGTCAAGGTACAACACATTTCCGTCACCATGAGGGCCCTCCCTGTCACCATTTTCTAATTGCACTCAGTTCTTTTCTACCTTTGCCGCCTCCTTAACCCCTGGCAACTAGTATGTTCTTCATTCCTATAATTTTGTTATTTTAGAAGTTCAGTATAAGTGGAATTACACTCTATGTAACTTTTTGGGACTGGCATTCCTCTGTCACCAAAATCACCTTGTGATTCAGCCAAGGTGTTGGATGTGCCAATAGTCAGTTTATTTTCGTTGCTGAGTAGGATTGCATGGGAAAGATATGCCATTCATCTGTTGAAGAACTTGACTAGTTTCTTTTTAACCTACCATTCTAGCATTGCTTTCAGCCCTGTGTAGCAGTGATAAGAACAGCGTTGGCCTTTCAGTGTTTTTCCTTCCTTTTCCAAGCCATGTGTTACTTGATGTGACTCATTGTCTGTGCTCTGTAAAAGCGAGAGGCAGTGTCCTCAGGGTCCGTCTTTCTTATCTTTATAACGAAAACCTTTGAGCATTTCAAGTTTCCAGCTTTCCTATTTTGGTGACTCTTGACACCTCACTGTGATGTATATACTACCCCCAGAGCAGGCACACTCTAATAATGGCTCCAGTTTTAAGATGGTGCAGCTTAGTAGGAGACTGGATTGTTGGGGGTTTGGGAAGTAATGTGGGCTCTTTCTATGGAGTAATGCAGCTGTATAAACCCTAGGCAGCTTCCTAAACCGGGTTCGGGCCTGTAAGTCCTGTAAGATTCTCCCCTATCAAAGACTACAGTGGTCTGTGGTGGCAATGGCAGCTTCTGGGTGCCTGTTGCTTACTTTTTTCCCGCAGAGGGAAGCTCCTCCTGGTTCTGAGCTGATCCTGACTGGACGACAGAGTGGCAGTGGCAGCATGTTTTATTCCTCTCTCTATACGGCCATCCCCAGCGTCTTTGCTCCACAGAGTTTCTTTCATCCATTATCTAAAGACTCTACAGCTCTCCTTTAGTTGCTCTGGTCAAAATGTAGTTGTTTGTTCATTGCTTTGGTCTGTTTTTGTGGGTGGGGATAAGTGTAGGAACCTGTAGTCAGCTATCTTGCTGACATAAGCCCTTGGAATTTTCTATATAGTCAGTCACATCACCTGCAAATGGAAACAGTTTTCTTTCTTATGTATGCCTTCTATCTACTTTTCTTGTCTTACTGTATTGGCTAAAACTTTTAGCACTCTGTTTAAAAAGAGTGCTGAGAGTGGATATCCTTGCTTTTTTCCCAATCTTAGGGAGAAATAATTCAGCTTAGCTGTGGGTTATTGGGGATGTTCTTTATCAAGTTTAGAAAGTTATCCTGTAGTCCTATTTTCTGAAAGTTTTAATTATGGATGGATGTTAAATTTTGTCAGATGCTTTCACTGCATCAATTGATATGATCGTGTGATTTTCTTCTTTAGTTTGTTCATATGATGGATATTAATTGATTTTTGAACATTGAACCAGCCCTATATCCTTGATATAAGCTATACTTGGTTTTTGTGTATAATTCTTTTTATATTTTGTTAAATTCTATTTGCTAATATTTTGTTAAGGATGTTTACATCTATATTTTTGGGAGATATTGTTCTTAGTTTTATTTCTTCCTTTCTGTTTTTGTCTCATTTTCATATTAGGGTAATGCTAGCTCTATAAAATGAACTGGGAAGTGTTCCCTCCTCTTTTGTTTTCTGAAGCGGTTGTATAGAATTGGTGTTAATTTTTCTATATACTTTTGTTAGCAATCCCCAGTGAAATTGGACGTGGAGACTTCTATCTGGGAGTTTTAATATTATAAATTCAGTTTAGTAATAGGGCTATTCAAATGATCTGTTTTATATTGGGTGAGTTGTTGTAGGTTGGGTATTTTTCAGGGGAATGGGTCCATTATATAACTTGTGAAATGTGTGTGTAGAGTTGTTTGTAGTGCTCCATTACCATCCTGTTTATTTCTGCAGGACCGATAGCGTAATTCCGTGTTGCATTCCTTATGTTGGTAGTTTGTATTTTCTCTCTTTTTTATGTCAGTCTTGCTAGAAGCTTGCTTGAACTTTATCTTTTCAAACAGGCAGTTGTTTGCTTCATTTTTTTTCTTTTCAATTTCATTGATTTCAGCTCCTCCATTTATTATTTCCATAGTTCTGCTTGCTTTGGGTTATTTGCTCTACCTTTTCTAAGTTCTTGAGATAAGAGCTTAGATAGTTGATTTAAGACTTTTCCCCTTTTTTCTATAAAACCTTCTCTTAGCACTACTGTAGCTATGTTCTATGCAATTTGATATGTTGCATTTTTATTTTCATTCAGTTCAATGTACTTCTTTATTTCCCTCAAGACTTCCTATTTTACCCATGGATTATTTAGGAGTGTGTTGTTTGATTTCCAAGAGTTTGGTGACTTTCATGTTACTGTTCTGTTTTTGGTTTCTTTTTCTTTTTCTTTTTTTTTTT